TGTCACTTTGTGTATATAAGTATCAGATTTTACCTATATGAACGGATATTCAAATGTTAGTTAATTCGCATTATGGAAATTATTTGGTAGTTATTTGACAACAATTAATGCAAAATGAGGTATATATAAAACCACAGTCACACAACAATCTTTGTGTTTGTGGGTTATTGTGTTATGTCTTAACCCCTTATTCCCTCAAGCTCCATTGGAGAATCGCTGAATGCTACTAATAACATAAATAAGACTTCAAACGTATTATAATTAAACAAATATAAAAATATTTATCACAAAATAAAAAATTCTAATATCCAAAAATTTACAAATTTTCCAAGACCTTTCGACTTCATTCCCAAGAAAGCATCTCAAAATGAACCTATTTATAAATAGGTATCAGTGTGACCTCCCCCTTGGGACCCTTACCCACGATAAACTTATCAAGGCGAGGATACGCATTAGGTTTTGGTGGCAATCTTCCCAACTTTCTTGGAGGCAGCGTTGCTTTCAAATCCTGGGGCGGCAATGCTGCCTCCAAGTCCTCGGAGTCGCCATCCGAGTCCTGATGATGCTGCTGTTGAGGTTCAGAAACCTCATGTATGGAGGCAGAAACATTAACATGTCGGATCCAAAAAACCACACCGCCAATAATAAAAGCCCAATAAAGTAGGCAAGAATAAATGCAAGAGATGTCATCTAAAAAAAGACATGAGAGGTAAAGAAATTGAGAAAATCTAGCAATATTAGAGAAAAACACATGCACACACACAATGGAAGGTTGAGGAAATTAATCAATCAATAACATCAAAGAACAAACTTGCTTCAATGAAAGAATAGAAAGAGAGTTGAGAGAAATAAATTAAATCCCAAAAATAATAAGAGCATAACCAAAAACAGTAATATGACTGAGCTTAGAAGGTAGAGTACTAGTACTTAAAGTGAGAACCAGCTTAAAAAAATTATGTGAACACCCAAAGTACCAACGTAAAATCATCACATTAACCATCCACTTCCTCTATGTATTATCACAAATTAAGAGAGCGTCTCAGTTTCCTGATTTTGCAATTTCTAACTCACAGCCATGATATTTTTTATGATCATTAAATTCTACTCAACACCCATCATCACTTCACTGCTAGATTATTCTTTCAGGTTAAGCAATTAAAAAGGAAGAAATTGAGAAGCAAATACAGTAGCATTAGCGTGTCATGGCTTGGGATATATGTCTAGAGGACCATATCAACCGTTTTATTGGTAATAAAAACAAAATATATTAAAAAAAGCTCCCATTCTCCCAAAAACAATTCCAAACCAAAACCAATCAAACAAGAGAAGAAAACCACACATCAAACTCTCCAACAAAAGAACCATGGCCAAAAAGAAAAAGCCCAGAATCAAGTGACCAACACAAATCCACAAGAAAATGAACTTCCACACAACATCCTCAAAAAATGCAAGAAACCAACCCATTTGAGGGAAAAACAGGCTCTAACAGATGCTTAAAATCCAGCATGCCTGAGGACAAACAAACAAGATCACAACCTCTCTACTTCTTGAAGACTTTCTTTGATTTTGTCACCTTCTTGTTTGGCCCAATCCCAATAAGCTCCCCCTTCAATCTCATAAAAACTTTTGAGACCAAAACATTTCGATGTCTTCTATGACTCTGAATCTTCTCCACTATAAAAAGATTATTTCTGACATCCTTCATATGCTTAGAATTCTCATTAATCCTCTCCAACCCCAAAACTGAGTTTTTCTCAAAAATCTGAGCTACTACACCCTTTTCATTGACAACCTCCGCAAATTCAGTAGGTCTCAACACTTAGTTTGTATCTCCAACCCGTGAATTATTTCCTTCAAATCCTACATTTGACTTCCTCAAAGGTATTTTGTATTTCTCTTCCAGTTCATTAAAAGGTTTCCTATTGAACTCCTCTCCTAAGAAAAATAAGTCCAATGATTTGCTCACTCCAACTTCAGTGTTTACCAGCTTTTCTAAGTTGATTGTCCTTTCAACCATTCCAACCTCAACTTAAGTATCAAGAAGCTTGCTTCATGGAAAGCAAAGTACTTGTCAAAAGGGGGAAGGGTAACATTGATCAAAAGCACTCTTGCAAATCTGCCCACTTACTTTCTATCTCTCTTCCCTGTTCCTAGCTCAATAGCTAAAAGAAAAGAAAGGCTGCAAAGGACTTCTTATGGAAAGGGTGGGATGATGAAAAAAAGATTCATGTGATAGCTTGGGATCAGATTTTCACTCTAAGGTATTCAGGTGGTTTAGGGCTGAAAAGAATAAAAATATCCAACACAGCCTTATTGGGAAAGTGGATCTGGAGATTTGGAGTGGAAGAAAATGGTTGGTGGAGAAATCTCATTGCATCTAAAGATGGTCTACAGCCGGGGGGAATGATGACTTCTACCAATTTACCTTCCTATGGATGTTCTCTTTGGAAAGCTATAATGAAAAGTCAAAGGATAGATTGTCATAAGTTAGTAGTTAAAATAGAAAAGTCATATGAAGTATTTCAATGGTAATTATAACCATCCTGAGTACCAATCATTTAGTATTTCACTAGCTATTGGAGGTTAGTTTATTTTTCTTCTTACTGTGTTGTCAAGGCTCAGTTTGGGAAGAGTGCAAATACAAATATGTACAGTGCAAAACCTTGTATTACAAACCTTGCATTTGTAATGAACATATTTGTATTTGCAATCTTCCCAAACTGAGACTAGTATACATCATACATCATAATTAAATCAATAATTTAGACACTATCATGTCTAATATATGTTCATCCACATACCATGTGGTCAACCTCCTCAATGCCTCTATTTTGGATTATCATTTTAATCAACTTATGAAAAACAGATTCAAGAAATTTGCAGCTTCTGCAGTCAATCTAGAATTATGTTCTTTGGATCAATCTTTTGTACACTATGGTCCTTGTTTATCTTCTAACCCAAATAAACAACTTTTGTTTGACATCTTGCATCTACCATTTTCTTGATGTTTATGTTTACAATTTTTGTCTGAGTATCTCCACTTGTTTGGAAGGATCAATTGCTGTTACAGAAGTTAATTTTTTTTTTAAGAATGGGTGTCATAGGAAACGGGGCATGAAGAACAATGGGTATCATACAAAATTTTTTTTCAAGCAATTTAGCAGAGGGCTGCTATGGAGGAAAAATGATAACAAGGCATGAAGAAAATGGGGAAACAAGTAAAAGAGATATAAACAAGTCTAGCAATACTTTTGATCTTGTTTGAAATTCTATTCTAGGGCATTTAACATGCCATATGCATTGGTGCATGGCTGGAGAGAGAAAGAGAGAGAGAGAATCTTACTAGAGATTGACAGCAGCTGGTACTAGAGAACAAACTTGCTTCAATGGCAGAACAGATGTATATGCAAAGTAAAAAATGTTTTTTGAATAGTGACAAGATCATAAGCACTAAACAGATGTATATGCAAAGTAAAAAAAAAAAATTATAGATAATTATCTGGAACTTGAACCAAAAGATTCAAAAAATATCTTTTTTTTATCAATAAGATAAATGGACACATACAAAGTCTCTTTTTTCCTTTTACATCAAGGCAGAAACATTGCAGTCAAAAAAAAAATTCCAAGCAAGTTCCTAAACTTAGTACATGTTTATGCAAAAGCAACTTGGGGAGACAAGTAATCAAATATGTTAGCATGCATGATGCTAACTTCGGAAGATGCATTGGAAGATCATGAGCACTAAACAGATGTATATGCAAAGTAAAAAAAAAAACTATAGATAATTATCTGGAACTTGAACCAAAAGATCCAAAAAATTTCCTTTTTTTATCATTAAGATTAATAAACACATACAAAGTCTCTTTTTTCCTTTTACATCATGGCAGAAACATTGCAGTAAAAAAAAAGTCCAAGCAAAGTCCTATATGTCAGCACTAAGTACATGGTTTTCCAAGAGCAACTTCGGGAGACAAATAATCAAATATGTTACCATGCATGACGCTAATTTCGGGAGATGCATTGGAAGATCATAAGCACTAAACAGATGTATATGCAAAGTAAAAAACAAAATTGTAGATAATTATCTGGAACTTGAACAAAAAGATCCGACAAATTTCCATTTTTTATCATTAAGATAAATTGACACATACAAAGTCTCTTCTTTCCTTTTACATCAAGGCAGAAACATTGCAGTAAAAAAAAAGTCCAAGCAAAGTCCTATATGTCAGCACTAAGTACATGGTTTTCCAAGAGCAACTTCGGGAGACAAATAATCAAATATGTTAACATGCATGATGCTAACTTCGGGAGATGCATTGGTGCATGGATGGAGAGAGAGAGAGAGAGAAAGAGAGAGATTCTCAATTAATCTTTGAATTCCACCAATTATATATATATAATATAAGTAATGCATATATAATATTTAAGTTATATAAATAATTTATATAATTATATATTTTTATATAATATTTATATTATAATATTATAATATATTAAAACTTAAAAAATTAGTTGGTTGAATTCGAATTGAATCAAATATTTAGTCGAATAATATTGATTTTTAATATTCGTAACTTAAATGGCAAAATTTTTAAACAAATTCGAATCGAAGTATATTACTTGATTGGTTTCGAATTCGATCCTTTTGTATATAACTAATCACAGAGGAAATCAATGACAAAACTTTGACGGCAAGGATCTAATTGTGTGTTGCGTGAGCACACCACGTTCCAATGTGAAATCACGGATTATAACGTGCCACGTGGCAATTCAAATACAAAAGAGCATCAAAACCTACGCTGATATCTGTACCAACAAAATCGAACTACGGGCCTATGGCTTCCAACTGTACTTTCAGTACCGAAATTATCCTCGATGTTGTTCCAACGAAATAGAAAAATATGAGGCCATTTCAGTCATTTCGGAAACTTCACAAACCCGGACGGCTGGACCGATCAGCAGTCACAGAACCGCCATTATTAATAATAAAATAGGCTTCCAAGTTCCAACATCTCTGAGTTTCCTTCTCAGTCATCTTCCTCTCTGTCAGTTAATTCAGTACTTCTGTTCTGTGTTGGTCCTCTTCAGCAGCCATGGCGACCGGTCTCTTCCGCAGAGCTGTTTCTAGGGTTTCGACTCCAGCATCGAAGCTAATTAGGTCCCGAGCGCACGCCTCCGAAGCTCAAGCCCAACAAGTCGAAGCTAAAGCGAAGGATCAATCCAAAATGAAGACTTTCTCCATCTACCGCTGGAACCCAGACAACCCTACCAAGCCTCAGCTCCAGGACTACGAGATCGATCTCAAGGACTGTGGTCCAATGGTCCTCGACGCCCTTATCAAGATCAAGAATGAAATGGATCCGACGCTCACCTTTCGCCGATCATGCCGTGAGGGCATCTGTGGTTCCTGCGCCATGAATATTGACGGCTGCAATGGCCTCGCCTGCCTCACTAAGATCTCGTCTGGAGCCTCGACCACAATCACACCCTTGCCTCACATGTTCGTGATCAAGGACCTCGTCGTCGACATGACCAATTTCTATAACCAGTATAAGAGCATTGAGCCTTGGTTGAAGAGAAAGACCCCACCGCCGGTTCCCGGGAAGGAGATACCGCAGAGTAAGAAGGATCGTGCAAAGCTTGACGGGATGTATGAATGTATTTTGTGTGCTTGTTGCAGCACTTCTTGCCCGAGTTATTGGTGGAACCCCGAGTCGTATCTCGGACCTGCAGCGCTGCTCCATGCTCACAGGTAAAGTATCTGTTTTCCCCCGGTAGAGTTGAATGTTATGCTAGTGTGCTGTAGTTTATGATTTCTGATAACTTTCTGTTGATTAGTTTCTTAGATTGGTTAAAAGGTTTGATAACTCCTCCCACTCCCTACCCCCAGGAATAAAAAAAGAAGACTGAATTTTTTGCATATTGGTTGTATAGCGTTTCTTTAATTCTAAATTATTTTGCTGAAGATTTAATTGTAGTTTTTTTTTTCTGTTTTTTTTTTTTTGGAATATCATTAACTTTGTTACATTGGGATGAATTTACATGTTCATTTCTCGAAACATCTGCAGAAGTTGGGCTTTTCTTTTTACAGAATTTGGTTTTAAAACCTGATAAATGCAATCATTGATCCCTATGATCTTCAACTTTTGAGTATACATCTATTTAATTTGGCTCTTCTTTATACATGAAGAAGGTTGCTTCACACAGATTTTTTAGGTCTTGTAGTTGCCTTGTAATTGCCTTATTTCTTATATATATGATAATTGTTTTTGTTTAAGTTTGTTAATTTTGTTTCTGTTGGATAATCGAGGTGGTATTTGGTAACTTTCTACCAGCATTTTTATGATGTTCTGGAAACAGAAACAGAAGAAACAATTAGTTGATGCTTCTTGGAATAAGAAAAAAGTTTGTGGTTACCAAATGCCAAAGTTTGAGGAAATCTGTTTGATTCTCTTTTGGTTGCGCTTGTAATTATTATTGACATTGTTTATTTTTTGGTTAATATCATATTTTGTGCATGCTTTTCCTCTGATGGCTTGATGGGGTCATGTTTATTGCAAAGGATCGAATTACAAGATTTTTTGTTTGAGGGGATGTGCCTCTGATGTAGAACAATGATAAATTGAAATCTCTTCAGTTCACTTTAGACAATTTGAACAGCAAGCTAAGTAAATGGAGTACTCACTCTTTCCAGGCGGGTAGGTAGGTTTTGGTTAAATCAAGTCTTCAGGCCTCTCCAAATTACTGTATGTCAATGGTACAATTCCCAATGAAAGTTTGTGATAAGATTGATAACATTCGAAAAACGATTTTGGTGGGCTAAGAAATCTGAGAATAAAAGGAGGTTAAGATGCTGTTCTTGAGGTGCAACTTGTTCTCCTAAAGATCAGGGGGGACTGGGTCTAAGGAAGGCAATGGATTAATAGTTGTAATAATATTCACTGCCTTTTTTTTAATGTGTAACTGGAAACCTTTATTAACTATGAGAAAGAATGATTTACGAAAGAGTGTGTGCTTAGCACTCTACAATATTCCACCTCAACCCAAACATCTAAACCTTAGGGATTAGACTACTTGTCCTCTTACAATTTCCCAACCAGTTTAATATCTAGGGATGTTTCTCTAGTATACCTCTTCCCTTTGTGCTCCTTTTTATGGCTAACTTGTCTGTTAATGTGTTTGTCAATCTCCATCTGAATTGAGAGAGGCTGGCCCCCTTTGAGTTCCTTGCTAAGAGTTTACAGGAGAAAGCTTTATCGTATGAGACCAATAGGAGCTGGCAATGGTGGGAAAGCTACTCTTTTTTTTATAGGCAAGAAGAGAACCACTCAAAGCATAGGAGTCCCCTCTTACAAGATAGAGATTGATGAGACAAGGGGGATTCAAAGGAAAAGAAACAAAAGATCTACTAGATCTAGCTTTTTCAGCTAAGTTATATGCTACTATGTCTTCTTTCCTATATATATATATATATTAATTTATACTAACAAAAACAGATATCAGGTTCTTAATGTGATCAGAGAGCTACTCTTGAAACTAGAACAACTAGTCAGGAAGATGCAGTAGATGTGCCTATTCATTAGTGAGGTGAGCAAAGTTAGAAGCAAAGTGAATATAAATGAATTGTCAGGAGGGAAGTACAGATTTGGAAGAAGTTGGGTGCCTTTTATTTGGGTGGTGAAGAAGCAGCAAGGAGAATTTTTGAAAGCCTAGAGGAGGAAGAAAGATTTGCTCTCAACAAACGCTTCCAACAAGCCATTACAGCTGAAAACAGCTCCTTATGAATGACAAGGGAGATGTTCCCAACATGCAGCTGTAGTGGCTTGCAGATCTGAACTCAAAAACAAAGGCCATTTCCCAATGTTGATCCCGGATTTCTGGAGTCTTGGGAGGGGTAGACTGGACATGGAGTTGGGAGAAGTGTTGAGTTGGGGGCCTGAAGGCTACTTCAAAGGGGAAAAAGGAATTGGGTATACGATTGGGAGTAGGACAGTTGTGGGTGATAACTCAAATCAATGAAAGGTTTTAAGTTGGGATACAAGAGGGTTGATCAGAGGCCAATCATTTGAGAAGGCATTGTATTTGCACGATACAAAAAGTCCCTTCCAAAACCAGATTTAGCTAATCTGGTTTTCCCCAAGCTTCCTCCCAAATGAAAAACGAGACTCTAGGGGGAACTGAAGAGAGCAAAATCCTGTTTACCCGAAAAGGTGAAGAGGTGTAGGATGTAAGTTTGGAAGAAAGACCTGTTGGTAAAGAAGCCATTAGGGGTATGGGACCAGACTAGTTTATTTGAAGTAGAGTGAGATATATAAACCTCTGAAAGCAGGGAGATCAAGGAGACATAAACAATTTAAAAATTATATTTTTAGGATCTTCTGAAGTTAAACTTAAAATTCTAAGACTTTGGTTTTCAAAAAAATAAATAAATAAAAAGGATTGTAGAATAGACAAGGGCCTGTTTGTCTTGGGCTAACCTGAACAGGGATGGAAAAGCTTTGAAAGTTGGGGGGCTTTCCATGAGAAAATTAACACTTGTGGCTAGGGGTGTCCATGAAAAACCGAAAAACCGAACTGCAAAATGTGGTTAATCGAATCGGTCGGTTCGGTTTCGGTTCGGAATTTTTTAAAAACCGAAGGACCGGTTCGGTTTTCGGTTAACCTATAAAAAAACTGACGGTTAACCGAACGGACCGGTATATATATTTATATGTATATTTTATAAATATTTTTAATATATGTCACATATTTTCTATGTATTTTATATAAATATGTATTCATTATATATAAATATATACTTATATTATATTTATAATGATCTATTTACAAATATATTATATATTTTAAAAATATTTATAATATATTATATATCATTTATTATTTATAATATAATATTATACATATATTTATATAATATATATTATAAATATAAAAAACCGAAGAACCGAACCGGTCAAAAGCGAAACTAGTGGACCGGTTAACCGGTGGTACCGGTTCGGTTTTAGTTTGGTGAAATGAAAAAACCGGTACCACCGGTTCGGTTCACAAAAAAGGGCCATGGTTCGGTTAACCGAACCGTGGACACCCCTACTTGTGGACTTCTACAGAAGAGGAGACCTTACTGTTTCCTTTCTCCTTCCTGGTGTTTACTTTGCAAAGCTAATGGTGAGATGCTATCACTTGTTAATCTTCTGGCCTTTTATTTTTCGCAGTTGGGATTGGTTTCTGCCTCTATTTGGTTGCAAGTGGTCGAATCCTCCCAGCATGTCAGATCTATTTGCACCTTCTGTTTTCAGGTGGCCAAAGAAGAGGGGGAGGATTTTGTGGAAATGTACTAGAGCAGCAATACTTTGGACAGTTTGGGAGGAAAGGAATAACTGAACTTTAAAAGAAAAAGGAAAGAGCTCTAGAAGCAATAATAGAGTGTATCATTATTAGAGAGGGGTGGTGGCCACTTCTACACAAAAGAATCTAACATGCAAACTCTGGGCTCCCCAACTGAAGGCTTCATCAAACTCAATTTTGATGGCAGAAGTAGGGGGAATCCAGGACCTTCAGGGATTTGAGGCATTTTTATGGATGAGAGAGGGAGTATAGTGGCACTATTTTCAGCTCCTATTGGAGTTGGTGATTCCTTAAGATCAGAGGTCATGGCTGTTACGGGAGGAGTACAAAGAGCAAGAATGATGAATGTAAATAAACTAATTATTGAGGGAGATTCTAAATTGGTGGTGGAGTGGTTGAAGAGCGGGAAAGCAGCACTATGGCAGTATAGAAATGAGCTAAGAAAGTTCTTATGGAAGACTACAGAGATAGAAGTGAGATTTCAGTAGGTTCAAAGGACAGCCAACCGAATGGCTGATGAACTAGCCAAACAAAGGATGGAGAGGGACCAAATCTTTTGGGCACAATTGTAAGGAAGTTCTAGGGGGAGATAAAAACTTGCTATCTCTCTCACTAATGCTTGTAATATGTACTTTTTATCAACATTTATAAAATGCTCACTTATTGATAAAATAAAAGCTTCTTTGAGAGATTTTGGACCTCACCAGAGATCAGTCCAAAGTCTAATTTGGTTACCGTTTCCTAGATTGAATCTGAAAAAGGGAGAGGAGTCAAGGGTTTGAACAATACCTTTCCAGGGATTTGCAGCTGAGAAATCAGCAAGAGGCTAGGTGCTGCCCCCCTCTTCCAGTGCTTTGTCAACCATGAAGCTTGGAAATGTAATAGGGGGTTATATAGTGAGGACTATCCTAACATAAACCCACACATATTGTACATAACAGTTCTAAAGAAGTCAATAAAAATTTTCTGTTACCAATAAAAAAAAGATCTCAACAAGAAAGATCTTGAGGTGAATCTGTGGATTTCTTTGGAAAACATGGAAGCAAACTCAGATCTTTAATGTTCTATTTTGATATATATTTTGTTCTTTCTCTTGGATTGCTTCTCTTGCTTTTGATGGCAGGTGAAAACTCTTTACTGGTGCTTGTAATCCTTTTTACTTTAATGGAACCTTGTACTTTGTTATAAAAAAACAAAAAAAAAAGAAGAAAAAAAGATTTTGCTGATCTTGGAACCCATATTGCTCCTATTTGTCTTTCCAATTTCCTTATTTTCCTAAATGTATGGGTGTATTGATAAGGCTCTTTATTGTTGTTTTGGATCCACCCTATACAATCTTGCAGTCACCTTCTATCAGCAAATTGTTATAGTGAAGGGAGCAGCCTAGTTGTAATCCCTGATAAAAGCTCTAGCCGTACAGGATCCTACAACTGTCAACCCTACCCTAGAAATGTTCCTCAATGCAGAATGTTGCAAAGTTCTCTGAACCTTTCATCCAGTGGGCCACCTTTATACACATGTTCTCTATCAGAGATTCTAGAAATTTTTGGTGTCATTGCATGGTACAATGGTTAAAATACTGGGATGACAAGCTTGAGAACATGGGTTCGAGTCTAAAGTGGGCACTTCGTGCAAAAAATGCTGGATGACTGGATGTTAGGTCCATATCCAATCTGCTTCTCCCAAGACCCTGGATAACCAAGATAAGCATTGGGTAAACCTTTATTTTTTAGGTATTTGTTACTTTGATTTATCTATTTATGTTTTGACTTTGTTGTAATCTGGTTATTCTGTTAGTAGATTGCAAAGAAAAAATGTTGAAAACTATTTAATGAACTCTGCTAATATTATCCATGAAGACTTCTTGGTGCATGGGTTGTTGATCCAAAATAAAAGAATCTTGGTGCATCATTATTGTTCTTGAAAATGATGTTAAAATCTCACTGAATCAACAGAGTAAATACTGAATTTAAATTGGCCCATAAATCTAAGAAATACTATGAATTCGTGATCTCTCTTAATATCTATATCAATTTAAAGAACCAGTATTGTATTTCTTTTTTTTTTTTTGGAATTTCAAATAGTATAACATTCTAATCTAATATTGAATTTGCTCTGCATCTTAGAAAGTCACACCAGATGCGCTTTGGTAGGTATAATATCATGTCACCATCCATCACTCTGCAAGGTGAGGGAGTGAAAGATTCTGAAGGAAACGAGAGGATAGGGGGGGATTATATGGGGAACTGTCCAAAGACTGACATTTTGTTGAAGTTGTAATAGGTAAATTGGGCAGGGATTTGGGGAAGAAGAGAAAAGATTTAAGCATGAAAGGAGTGGAGCAAGGGGTTCATGTTGGTTCATGTAATGGCCAGTTGAAGTCAAAATTTAAAGAGACCTAATAATGGTCAGTTGGTTCATGTAATAAAGGTTTTGCTGAAAGAGGGTCTCTTTGTAGCAGGTCCTTGTGACAAATTCAAGAGGAGGTATAGAAGGAAGAGGATGGAGGTAAAGATAGAATTTTAATATATTGGGGAGGATGAAAGGTTTAACATCAAAGCAGGATCAAGATCCTTTTTATCCTAATGAGGATAAGAACTAGATCAAAATAAGACTGGCTCAGAATTGGAGGAGGAAGGGTTGGAGGTAGGATGATGATGAACAGATTATGGATCAAATAAGAGCAGTTGAGAAGAAAATTTGGTTGGAAGAAGTGGTGGATGTGGAAATTCAAGATAACGAGTCTTTTCTTTGTGGGTGGGGAAGAGTTCACAAGAAACGCTTTCATGGATTTTGAGTAGGGAGGGAAAAATAAGGTTAGTGAAGTTGGAGGTTGAAGTGAAGGGGAAGGAATTAGGGTTGCCTCTTTTAAATGGGATAGATGGTTGATGTTTGGATAGGATTTCTATATTTTCCGGATTGGGTAATGTTGTCACTGGGGTGGATCTATGTGTTGGTGTAAAGGGTTTTGGATGTTGATTAGTTTTGTTGTGTTCTATTTTTTTGGGTGATATCTCATCACCTGGTGATGTACTTTTTTTTTATTCAATGAATTTTCTTCTTTATTACCTTCAGAAAAACATTACATGATACTTTTAACATACTCTGATTTAACATTAAGGGTGCTAAGGCAACTATCGGCATTATATAGTAATAGATATATAACTGTAATATTTTTTGTCATATGATATTATTAATATAGTAGATACAAATGCATTGTGAGCTGGTCCTAAGGTGTTGGTCTTGGACCCAGGCCCAAGCCCATAAATTTCTGGGCTGGGCTAGAAATGTTCACCCGTAAGTTGAGGAGATCTCCAGAATTCCTACATAAAAAATTATACAATGCAATCTTTTCCACTATAAGTTGTAATAGTCTGCCAAAGAATTAGGAGATCTTGTCATCCACCTGAATGAGGTATTCTAGCAGGTTGCTGTGGTCTTAGCGCCTCTAATAAAGAAATGAAAGTTCTAAGGAGCCTTTTCACTAAACGTACAGCTCAGGACAACCTGACAATGACCTTCAACCGACCCTCTGTTCCAACCACAAGCGAAGGCTAATTTTAACCCTTGAAGGAGACCTAGCAGTTCTGCCCTTGGCGAATTGCCTCTCATCCATATGGTTCAATTCAACATCATCCTCTGCTTTGGTGTGCAAAAAGGACCAATGATTTGCCAACCCCTTGAATAAAATCAATGGTGAGTAGGAGACACCTATGAGTTCTGCTGTGGAATTCAGTGAGCCTCACCATGTTTAGATCAATCAGAGTGTTTACTTCTTGCACTCCATTGTTAGAAATACATTTGTTCTTATATCTAGTTTAATTTGTATATATTAATGGGATTTCTCAAAAGAACTTAGATCAATCATGAAAAGACCAAACAATGACTGAAAATACTTTATTAACATGGGTACTAGAAGGAAGAATTCAGAGGGGTGTCTTGATACCCCAACAAAACATTGCAATCAACAGCAGCTCAAGCCATTTTCAGACCACCAGGGATGCATCTATAGACAGACGGCTCTTCTCAAAATATAAAACCCCTGGGCTTTTCTGAATATAGAGCAAAGATGACTCCTTATAGAATAAATTTCATCATCTAGGATGAATTTGATTGGTGCTCTTTGGTTAACTTGACCTTTGGGCATAGGGGGTTCTTAAGTTTTAGAGTTGTGAAACACCCATTGTTTAGAAAGCCGGACCGGATCGGCTGGTTGGATTGGTTGAACTGTGATCTGGGCCCCTGGCCGGGTTGGTCATACCCAGAAAACTGCTATTTATGAAAAACCAGCCAAAACTGGCTGACCAACCGGTTTAACCGGGAAACCGGTGAATCAGTCCTGGTTTTGTGAAACCACCTGGGTCACAACATGAATGGAAACTTCAAAATGGTAATGACAAGATTTGAACCCAAGACATTTTATTTATGTGTATTGTCTTGTTACCATTAATTCATCTCTTTATTTGCATTTATTTGTGCCTCTTTAATGTAAATATTGCTTTAATACACATGCTTTAAAGAAAATGTGAATTAAGAGACTTGAACCCTGATCTTTCTTTTAAAAACTTAACAACTAGTTGTCTATCCACCACATGCAAGTGTGCTAATATTTTTAAAATTTGGGAAGATGATTTTTTCTTGAAACCTTCCTCTCCCAAAAATGGCACTTGAGTTAACAAGGGAATGAACATAGTTGAACAGTTTAATCCTGGAAGCAACAGCAAAAATATTGTTTTAATTCATGCAATGGCAATATCAACGTCGTATAGTCTTCGCAAAGCTCTTTATATTTTCTGTATTGTGACAACTTCAAGGAAAAGTATAATGTTGGTTCAGTAGAAAGGAAATAATTTAAAATTTATGATTTTTTCTTAAGATCAGACCATGATTTTTTTTTTCCTTTTTTTTTGACACCTCAAATGATTGGAAAGGGATGAAATCAGTTTTGCTATGGCTAATTTTCATATTGAACTCGTCATCATGTCTTCCTATCTTTGTCTGTAGTTCCTCCATGTAGACTACTTGTTTCTGTCTCAATACTCTGAATTAATCTTGTATGCATGGTGTCCTTTGATAACATGGTACTTGCTACATCCTGAACTTAAATTTCATATTTCCAATTTTCCATCAAGAAATAGAGAATGGTGTTTCAGCAGACAAGATCAGTCAGATCTATTGGTCTTCCTATCACAGAGCTCTTAGTTGAGTTTCCATGTGGGTAGCCTTGATATTTCTTTGTTTTTGTTTTGGGGCATACAGGTGGATAAGCGATAGCCGTGATGAATACACAAAGGAGCGCCTGGATGCAATATGTGATGAATTCAAGCTCTATCGCTGCCACACAATATTGAACTGTGCCCGTGCCTGCCCCAAGGGATTGAATCCTGGAAAAGAGATCACAACAATCAAGCATCTCCAGCTCTCAACTGGAATCTGATTTTGCATAGTGTATGACTACACTTTGGAAATAATTGCTTATAGACTGATGGTTCTCAGCATCCATGAATCGTAATTTTCTCTGGAATTAATAATTTTATGTACTGGGTGCACATTCTTGCATTATCGTTATTGTACTGTGACATGTTCGAAGCTTAACCTCTTTGTTTCCAATTGGTATTCAACGAACGCTTGGGTCTGTCCTGACCTAGGTCCTAGGAGGTTTTACTTTCTGTCCTGTGCGCTATTGTACAAGTGTTAGCATGTCTGATGTAGGACAAGCCTGCCTATATAATTTCTGTGAATTGAGTACAAACGTTACTTGTTCAGCTAAAAGAAACTGCTTAATTTCTGTTGCATTATCGTTATTGCTATGAGGCTTTTGGCTGGCCATACTGTTGGGATGAAAAATCTATAGATGAAAATTTTATATTCTCTGAATGCAGATAAATGCCAAGTCAGTTCTGGGGAGAGGAAAGAGATGCTACGGAGAAGGATATTATTTCTGCATGCTCTTACGTTATTTACTAATATAGTTATATAGGTACAGTTACATACAAACGATGGACATGTATCAGTACATTTTAACACTCTCCTCCAATACATTCAAACTTGACGTTCCAGTTCCAGGTGGTAATTAGGAGTGCCTTAATTTGCCAGATGTTTTAAGACCTAAGAATCTTCAATCTGGCATTGTAACCCAAATGGGTTTCATGTGCTCCTGCAGAAGGGGAATGTGTCGAATCAAAGGCAAGTTCTGTAAACCGATATAATTTCAAAAGCGGTTCGGTTTTGACACCAAAATTTTTGGAAGTGCATTTGGTTGTCAACATGAATGTGATTTTACAAATGTTTGTTTGATAGACAAACAAATAAAACATAGCGTCATTTTAAATTTGACAAGAGCTACCTCTCTCTCTCTATCTATCTCTCTGTGCTGTTCAGAGCATTGCCACTCCCAATTGCAACATGGCTGAAAGCTGCCAATCACAAACTCTTATTTCATTTCTCATTTGCACTTTGCAGTTCTACCTTCACGTCCCTAGCTGCACAATTTTTGCTTCAATCAACATAATTAGAAATTTAGAAGACATGCTATGAGGATGGAATGGTTGCAAGAATTTGAACTGCAGTATGACGAGAATAACCGGTCCGATGTTCTGAATACATCCTACTCAACGTTTACCAGTTTTGCGTAAACCAAATAAAAAAAAAGGCAAATGAGGCGATGCCAAAATCTAGAAATCTAAGAACATTAGTATTCTGAATATTAGGGATGTAGAATCACATGTCCACGATCAAATGCCGCCACCATCGGGTCTAACTACCACTAGATAACATCACAGACACAATTTGTACATGGAAATCAAAGATTTAATCATTTGAGCAAAAAATGAGTGAATAAAATCTTAATATGAAATAAAAGAAGGGCAACTCTAGTCCTGTTAAATCGAACAAAAAAAGCAAAAGAAACATACAAAAATGGTCTTTTTAGTTGACAATTTTGTCCAACTTTTTAGATAATTAGATGCAAGGACAATGTTAAAATTATATCTTCAGTCAGTATAGGTGGGTCTTTTAAGTTTGTTGTCATTTAGGAGTTTAGCAAATGGTCTATCTGTTATTTCTGATAAATGTTCAAAAGGGGTTAATTAATCCACAATCAATTATTATTTTATGTGATATACCATAAAATGGGCTTTTATTGAGTGACTCACTTTCATTTATTCATCTCTCAGCTTTCCCTTTATCCTAAAGTTAGAGTCATTTGCATATCTTTGAGAGTGAAGAATCAGATAGTGCATGGAACCAATTATTTAAATTGTAAAATCCTACCAATTTCTATGAATGATGACTTATCATCTTATCCAAGGTTCTAAATATCGATATGCCCGATACGCCGGTAGGGGCATATGGGGTGATGTTGATGGTGCTTTTTTTACCTTTTTTTTTCAAAACCAGTTCAGGGGGGCTGATTTAAGGCTCCACCCCTTGAACTGGTCAGAACTCTGGTACACCCTCTGTAGGGGCATATCAGGGAGCTCCCAAAATGATACGTAATGGCCGATATGGGTCGATACTTTGAACCTCTTATCTTCTATGAGCTCTCTTTGGCTTCTATTAGAAAAGTTAATAGCCACTTTAGGGTAAACCCTTCTAATAGGTAAGTGCCGATCCATCATATCGGGATCCCCAATGGTAAGAGAGATTTTCATTTTAAGATAGACAACTCCCATTAATTTATTGCACCCTTAACATCTTATAAGGTGATCCGGGAACATCAGTAATTAAATAGATATCCCAAATTTATGATGCATCCCTACTTATCATATCAGCCCACGCACATTAATAATGAAGAGCCTTTAGATATTGCTTCTTAAATTAATCCTTATCTAATGCACTTATATTAATCACGAGGGAACAATTTGCAGCTCTACGTGCAAGTATAGGTCCTACCATGATAGCTCCTACTTACTTTCTTAGAGTTAAGTTCTAAGTGGTAGGGACACTCAGTTTCTAAATCAAACTGGTAGTACCAACTTTTGGAAAACTGGTAATCGAAACCAAATTGAAGTCTATTAGTCAACTAGTTGATCAATTTGGTTAATCGTCGGTTCAGTTCATTGATTGTTTTATTTTCATAATATTACATAGAATATAATAAAGATATAACATATGAAAAATATATAATATACATAAATATATAAACACATATATAAGATAATATATAAATATATGTATAATAGTCGGTTTAGTTAATTGCCAGATTTTACATTGGTTAACCAAAACTGAACCTATTAGTTCGATTAACTTGAATTTTTGGTTCAGTCTTATCGGGTTGATTTGATTTTTTGGTTTTTTGGTTTTTCATGATTACCCCTACTAAGTGGGTCCCTCGAGTTAGGATTGTCATGGGGTTCTCTTTTAAGAGTGAAAACAGGTGGGGCCCACAAAAGAGAGGATTGTACAATGATCTAAAAGAATAAGAGGCTTCAGAACACATAATAGGCCAAGCACTTATGGCCCATGTGACAATTTCACAGATCTCAACACATAATGTATCATAAATATAAAATAGAACATAAGAGGCTTCGGAAGCCCAAGCCCATTAAGGTTAATATATTACTAACCCACTAATTAGTGGGTTTTAATCGAGGATTAAAGTATTGATATGATACACCTGATATGGGGCATATCATACCCATATTTACTAGCATAGGATACACTACAACTCTATGCATATCCTGCCAATCGTGCTTATCAATATGATACGCCACTATATTGGTGTGTATCGCACTGTATCAGTGGATACAATATGATACTCACCAATACAAAGGCATATTGGACACTAATTTAATAGCAGATTCAAACCTTGATTTAAGATTTAATTTTCTCCAAAAATTTAGTAAGAATTGAAAACTATAAAATCCATTTATTTTATTTATCTTGAATGATTTATATATTTTATTCTACATATAAATTATATGTTAGAAATGAAAACATATTTATTATTTGAAAAATAGAGTTATTATCTATATAAAAATACTAAATAAATAAATTTCCCAAAAAATTAATAAAAACTGAACTAAATAATTTAAGAGTTAATTATTTTCCAAAATTTTAATAAAAACTTAGAATTATAAAAATAATTTATTATATCACCTTAGTTGATTTATACATTTATTTTAAAATTATATGTAAAATAAACAATTGTATGTTAAAAATAAAAATATATTTATTATTATAAAAAATAAAGATTATTTATCTAAAAGTACTAAAAATATTTCCAAAAAAATATATTTATTGTTTTAAAAAATAAAGATTATTTATCTAAAAGTACTAAAAATATTTCCAAAAAAATATATTTATTGTTTTAAAAAATAAAGATTATTTATCTAAAAGTACTAAAAAATTTTCCAAAAAAATAAAAATTGAAAATTATAATTATTTAAACTAAAATAGGGTGATAATTATTGTATGATATGTACATCTTCTAGAGTCCCGGAATTGTTGATTGTAATGTTTCTCTTCATATTACCTATTAAAGTGTGCATTTCTCATGGATTTATACCCCATTAATAGTTAAGTTCAGCTTTAGATTTAGTATTATTAACATATTTATGTGATTTGTATGCAGTTCCCTTGGTTATCCAAGCATTTTCATATCTTTCGTCTGTATCTATGTGTTTCCAAAACGTATCTATATTTGTATTTGTATTTGACTGTCCAATATGATATTTGATACCAATACTTTAATTAACCTCTCTTGAATATGGGCTCAATTGCTGAAAGCAATTCAGTCTATATCCAAGACTATGCCGATTTGGGCTAGTCTTGCTTTATCCTCAATTTGTTGGGTTCCTAAGCATGGACCGAATTAGTTATTGTGTCGGCCCATCAAACCCCTAGATTTCAGACCTTTTTAATCACCATTAAGTGATGGTCATGGGCTGTTAACAGTTGCCATGAAACCCTAGAACCAATACAACAATTTGGGCCAATTCTAAGTTGATTCAGCCTAGGGTTTGGTGTGTCAACACATCAAGCAATTAATTTGATATGAATTAAATAATTACAACAACAAATCAGCAATTAAACAAGCAAATATCATAATAAATTATGCAAATAATTGGCTTGAAGTGTGGTGATTAAACTTTAGAGAAATCCTCCATGTTGCATCGAATCAGGTCACCACTATAGCATCAATCCAAGAGCTTCATCTTCTAAGTTGGATGCTCCACCAGGTCTTTCAAAATAAAGTGAAAAAAAAACCTAATTCTTATGTTTACAACTGGAAACCTTAACTACAATTTTCTTCTAATAAGAAAGATTAAAACAAAAACAAATGCAACATGAGAAATAGTAGAAGATCAAGACTGTAATCAGTCTTGAATCCTAATAGGTTTTAGGTTTACAAAACAGAAGAAAAGTGAGAGAAAGAAGAAGGAATAGAACAGAAACAGGAGAACACAAAGGGGTTGAAAGGAGGGATAGATTCTAACAGATCTGCCGCTGCCACTCTCTTATTATTTATAGGTTATGTTCAGTATATAATGGAAAGGACAGATCTGTCCTTAGTGTTTACATGATAAATAAAGTAAATAAAACTGAAATAAATAACAACTGAATTAACAAACTGACCCAAACTGACACTACTATAACTGAAACAAATAACTACACATGTTGTCCTACGAACATAGTGGGGACCACTGCTGTGGGGCCCACATCAGTGTTCTCTACACTCCCACTCAAGTTGGGAGTAGATATCTATCATTTCCAACTTGGATAGGTCAGTCTCTAACTTCTTCCTTGGTACAACCTTGGTGAGGATATCCGCGAGTTGCATATTAGATGTGAT